TTTTGAAATTAGGTTACTTACATTTGGTTTTATTTTATTTCATGTTTAAATTATTTACTTTGATTTGAGTGGGAAAATCCTGAAACCTTTATCCTGTGGTTGCCGATATGTATAATTATTAATGAAATGTTCACTCATAGTTCCTTTTGAGGCTTAGAATTTCAATGTGTCAGGTCAAACAGTATTATAAACTGTACTTTGGTGTGTGAGACAGCACATTTTTAAGTGATGCCTGCCATTTGCAACCTATTCTCCTAAGAGTGCTAGGTACCAAATTGTAAAAGTTTGTTCTTAGTTATCTTACTTTTGAGGCTGGTGAAAACCTTAAATGTAATTTTGTGGAAACACTGATTCATGTTAAGAAAATGTAAATGTCTATAGCACTTTCTTACAGTTAATTTGATAACTTTGGATGTTGAACCTTATATTGTCAGTGGTTTAGATTTAAAAATGCATGTGTGATTTTAATTTTGTAATGGTTTTGACAAGCATAGTTTACTTGTACAACTTTGTAGGTAGCCTTAACTTCTGGCCAAGTTTGTTTTTTATATAAATATATATACATATATATATATTATGTATGGTTGTAAATTCATATACTTATCACATGAATGTGTTACTGTATACAAAACTCTTTTAATGCTTTATTTTCAAATGCTGGGTTGAAAAATGTTTTGAAAGCCTTTTAAAATATATATCTTTATAAAGTAATATTCAGGATGATGATGGAAATTGTTTATATTGTTATGATAAAAATGACAGTATAACGTTGCCCAGTGTATTTAATGATTTATTTGAAGAGGGAGAGGGGAGGAAGGTGCTCATGCCACTTTTCTCCTTTGAAATTTTCAGTTTTCTTTCTTTTTAAAAATAAATACTTCAGGCAGTGAACTTTCTTCAGTATCACTTAAATGATACCCTGTGTGCTAAATAGTTTGTGGTATATAATTAATTTGGTCTGAATATTTGATTCCTTCTGTTCCTTTCAAGTTGACACTCAGAGTATTGAATGGAGGAGAGAGTCTCAGAGTAGAATGGTTGATGCTCTGGGTAAGTTTATTAGCAACTCTTGTAATCTCCTTTAAAACTGCCTTTGATTCAGTGTTCATGCTTTGGTTCTCCTTCAAATATGACTATATTCATGTAGGTACAGGACTATATGATGATACATATGTAGGGGTGAAACACTTACTTTAATACTTAAAGTTATATTTTCAGAAAGTGTTTTGTTAAAGAGTATGATTGTACCCATACCTGCCCACCTCTTGTTGGGCCCTATGTTCAAATAGATAATAGTGATCTTTCTTGCGTAAACTGTAGGCAGGGACACAGACTTCTCTGGAATCTAAGAGAACAGGGAGATCCATTCCTGATGTGCCGGTTTTGCTGCTGTGGCAGAATGTGCCATGAAATGCATAAAAGAAATTCTCCACATGTGCGCCCTAGTCAGTCATCTCCCCTCTCTTCCCTGAGTGCTGTGAACACAACAGCCCCCCACACTTCCTAGAGCCTCGGGGTACCAGGCTGCCTTTCCTAGTCCTGTCAGTCTGTAGGTATGAATTGCTGAATTAGCTGCTATCCTATATGGAGTCACATTAAGCTTTTTCTTATCCTTTTCTATGGGGAAGCTGTAGGGTGGGTAAGGAGGAAAGTTAGGGTAGTTTTACTGCTTTTACTTTGCTGAAAATCTTAGAACCTTCCTGTGACAGGATACAGCAAATCATAATTCAATAACAAACCAGAACCAAAGCTACCTCCAAGTAGTATTTCCTCAAGCACAAAGCTCTCAGGCATATGAGACCCACTTAAAGTGGAGGGTCTCTGATTTCTTGAGCATCCGTGAGTTTCAGAAGTGACTATTTTTTGTACTCTCCTAGTTCCCTTGTAACTACACACTTTCTCCCATTCCACACTGTGCTTAAATGACAAAGACTCTTCTAAGAAGCCAAATTCTGTCAAATTATTAGCTAAAACCTAGAACTGAAGTGGAAGAAGAGAGTTCTAGTTCTAATAGTCTTTTGGCTAAATAAATCAATTCTTTTCTGGGAAATGGTCTTTTATAGGAAATGTGATGCTATTTTAAATGCTCTTCTTAAGTTGAAGGCACAGCAGTTAATGCCTCTGTTGTTGCTATTCTGTGTCAGACATGGTTTTGATAAAGCTTTAAAATTTCTGCTACTAAGCTTTGGGATAGAGTGTTTTACCCATTTGAAATGTTGGCTGCAGCTTTTTGTGATCCTTCTCTGATTTGCAGTGTAATAAGTTCACAAGCTAAATTTTCAGAAAGAATTTTGTTTCAGATTGTGCCTCTTGTCTATTTGGGAGCAACATGTCTTTTCAATCATGGGATTGACAAATGAAAAATAAAGTTATTTCTTAATCTATTTTGAGAAGTAGTCTTTTATTGAGAATCTTTGAAACTAGGTTTTCCTGTATGACAACACTTTGCAGCTTTTTTTGGTCACAGTTTTATTTTAAAACTTGCTGTTCTTCAGGTCCTTTGACCCTTCCAGACTTATTAGTGTTCCTAGCTTTCTGTATTCCGCACCCCTGCCTCCATGTAGTTTTTACTGGTAATTTGCTGGGAGGTGTCTTTCAGCATGCAAGTCCCTCCTTTGGGAGGTGCTTAAAATATTTCCATTGACATGTTTATGTACACATTTTTTATTTCCTTTTTTTCCTTTGGGATGGATTATTTTTCTCACCAAGCATTTTGCAAATCATATGACCTCACTTCTGCTAAAATAACTTCTTTTCGTCATCGATATACAAGATTCAGTAGACACTAGGCAGCATCATTTGGCAAGTGTTCAGCTCGGCTGGAGGGAGGCAGAGCATGTCATTTTCTAGTCTAGGGGCATTGTGCACTATGGAGCTCATTCTTGACTTTTTTTTTTTTTTTAATGAAACAAAAGAGGCTCAGATCCATTGCCATCCAGCTGAGGACATATCTCATCTCTGTCCATCCTCTGTCTGAGTTTTGTCCAGAGAAGGTAGCAAGTTTGGACTTTTTACCCTATCTCACTTGGGTGTAGAACTCTGTGGAGACTTAGTAAGGTAAATCTAGTAATAAGAGAAAAACTCCTAAGTCTGATGATTAACAAAGGTAAGAATCATTGTTAAAGGGGGTGTAATACTTAAGCCCCTGAAGCTACTTTGAACAAAAGTAAAAGCTACTATTAAAAAGTAAAAGTTCAGTGTTAGGATGAATTCTTCTGAAAAAATATTATTACAGTGGCACATTGCGTTCATTCATTATACACAATAGTAAGTTTTCACTATACAATAGAACTTAAGTTGTCTGAAACTCTGAAGGCTGTGTGCGCTCATTTAAAAAACTTCCCATATAGGTTCCTATTCAGTTAGATATCAGGATATAATAAAGGAGGCAAAAAGACCGTGTGGAGTGTTTGGTGCTCGACTGGTTGTTGCTGCTAGCAGTTGTTTGACATAGTGGAACTAAATGGTGGGGTTTTTTCTAGGGTTAATATGTGAGATACTCAGGAGAGACCAAATGGAAAATAAACTAGTCTTCTAGAAGAGTAGAGATATAGAAGTAGACTTAACTTAATCCCACTTAAAATTATCCAGCAATTGAGAGTCACAGCTTGCAACAAATTCACAAGTTGACCAAGTATGCCTGTTCTGAATTTGAGTGTCTGATTTTGCTATGCATTTATTTGGGGCATTAGATATTTGTACATTTTTAACAGGAGTTTTGATATTTCATGTATTACTTGCCTGACAATCATAATTCTTTTGCCCCAGAGTAAATCACTACATTAATTGCAAACAATCTTGTTGCTTAATTGTTGAATATGTGTTTATTTCAAGTAAATTATGCTTAGGGAAAACCTTCAGATGCTTTATAACATGCCCAGATTGAGATAATAGTTGCAGATAAAGGTCTCCCTTTAAATATTTCAGTGATTCAGTGACGTGCCGGAAGCTGTGTCCCAAAATACAACCAGTTTTGTTTTCTAGTGTTTGTAATAAGTAGCATTAGAGTAAGACTCAATTAACCCAGAACATTTTTCTTTCTCTTTCTCTCTCTCTCTCCCCCTCTCCCTCTCTCTCTCCTTTTTCTTTCTTTTGCCAGGTGGATCACATTAAACATGACATTAAAAAAGAAAAAAAACTTTAATTGGAAATTTTACAATTGAAAAGACTTTTTATCTTATAGACCACATACAAATGTTTTTAGACATTGAAAAGTGCTTAAAAACCAACTTTGCCCAGTCCTCTATGCCATTTTCTAAATGCAGAGCAGAGGGCGGCATCTCGAGCTGAAGCCAGCTCAATGTAGCATATCTATAAACTCTAGCATGGACCTATGGATACAGGTCACAGCTACAAACTTTCTAAGCAAGAGGGAATATGGTATGCATATATAATACAGTAACTATTAGAAAACCTCTCACCTCCTACAGGGGAAGTGAATTTATTTTTTCAGTTGCAAGAGTCACCGCTTAGCTAACTCTTCTGTGACTAGAGAATGCAGAGTGAACAGGAAAGGAAGCAGCTGATAGCCTTGCAGCAGTAACCAGCACCCTCCCCCTCATCATGCGTCATCTCCAGGAAGGCACACTGTCCCTGTCTTCCATTGTCTGGGCTCATTTTTAGACAAAGCTCTAAGACTCCTGAGCTGACTTTTACGTAACTCACTTTCCTAGGTTGGGGCTAGTGTTAAAGAAGCCAAAGAACTCAGATCTGTGTAGCAGAGGTCAGTCTCATTCTAACACTGCAACTACCCTTAAAGTCCACCCAGTGAAGCTGTTTCAGGTTGTATATCTTTGACTGAATTCTGTGTATATATTTTGTTCAGACTTGTGACAAGTGTTGCTAATTGACTATTTGGCTATGCTGTCTCAGCAAAGAGAAATTGATTTAAGTGCCATACACTTTGCAAGAACTGGTCCAGGAGGCTATTGTGCCAAGGCTAGCTCATGGCTTGGTGGCAATACTTCTTCTCCTTCTCCGGCCAACATAGACTTGGTCACCTGAAAGTTAGAAGATGAGCAGGAAGTTAAAAAATACCTTGTGGGGCCGGCCCGGTGGCGCACTGCTACAGTGCGCCGTTTGGGAGTGTGGCAGCACTCCCGCCGAGGGTTCGGATCCCACATACAGACCGGTTCCCGCTCACTGGCTGAGCGAGGTGCGGGCGCAG